GGGGGGTGGGTACCGCAGAGTCAGTTTCCTCCCGCACACGGCAGGAAATAGAGAGCGAGGGCGCACCTTGACGTCGACCTTGTTGCCGCAGAGCACGATGGGGATGTTCTCGCAGACGCGCTCGAGGTCGCGGTGCCAGTTGGGCACGTTCTTGTACGTGATCTTGGACGTCACGTCGAACATGATGATGCCGCACTGGCCCTGGGTGCGCAGAACGGGTCGGCGGGTCAGTGAACGAGTCGGGAGAAGGACGAGGGGCGGGGCGGGCGAAGAGGCAGGGGGCGCACCTGGATGTAGTAGCCGTCGCGGAGGCCGCCGAACTTCTCCTGGCCGGCCGTGTCCCACACGTTGAAGCAGATCGTGCCAAAGTTGGTGTGGAACGTGAGGGGGTGGACCTCGACACCGAGAGTGGCTGCGGGCGAGCGGACGAGGTCAGTCGGCCGGCCAGCGGAAGGAGGGTGGGAGGACGTGACGACGCACCGATGTACTTCTTCTCAAACTCGCCCTGTTGCGCGAAAGAGACCAGCAGTCAGTACTCTTGAGTCGAACGAGAGCCACAGACTCGGTCCGCCGCAGCGTCATCAACTCACGGTCAAGTGCTGCAGGCAGGGAGGGAGGGCAGGTCAGTGCGCAGTTCCAGACAGGGACACAGAGGAGAGTGGACGCACACGCTTGACAAAGGTCGTCTTGCCCGTGCCGCCGTCGCCGACTGGAGTTTGAAGGCGAGCGTTGAACGAGGTCGAGGGGGAGGGGCGAGGTGACACGGCACATGGGGCGGGTCGCGGCGGGGCGTAGGTGGGCGCAGATGGTTCATCAGAGAGGTACAGGGAATGCACGGCGCACAGGGAGGAGGGGGGAGAGGGGGAGCGAGAGGTCAGCTTGCTGCTCCTACCACCCCTCGGCCGCGACGAGCTCCCACGGCGTCGCACGGGGAAGGCGGACGCACCGAGGACGAGCTTAAAGGTGGGCATCGAAGCTTCCGGGGCAGCCATCTTGTCAGGTGCGAGTCGGGGTGAGCGAGAGGAGACGAAACGCCGCCCTCTTTTCCCTCGTCTCGACGAGCGCTCATCACGCTTCCATCCTCTGCCTGTGAGCGCTGTTGGAGCGCTCCTGATCCGCCGTGTAGTCACTCATAAGCCGACTCAGCCATCTCGCAACTCAGAAGCTCCCGGTCGAAATTGGCTCTCTCGCGTCGGCTCCTCTCGTCGAAAGCAACGCCGCAGAGCGCTCACGCAGTCTAGTCGCACATCGAGCTCTAGTGGGACGGCGTCTAGTAGTGTCTACAGAAGGAGGGCGAGGAAAGAAAGCGAGTCCAAGCCGGGCTCAGAAGACGACGTCCATCGCACGGGCCCACCGACTTTTGGGCTTGCCGTTCCCGCCCTCGTCGAGCTCGTCCTCGACCGTCCGACTGCCCGACACAAAGTCGAGCTCGGCGAGAGGACGAAGGGCCCACCTGCGAGGAGAGACGAGGTGTCCTGCGTCAGTGAAGGGACGCAGAGGGACGCCGAGGAGGAGAGGAGAGAAGGGACGCACTCGCTCGGCGGCAGGCGGCAGATCCACCGCTTGTAGACGTAGACGCCGACATAGCAGATTGGGCAGAGGATGATGGGCTGCGGCGGGAGGAGAACGTGAGGGCCTGCTCGACGACGAGGATCGAGAAAGCGAGAGGGACGTACAAGGTAGGTCGTGACAAAGTCGGCCGTGTCCCACTGGCCGTCGATAAAGACGGTGAACTTGGAGAAGAAGAGGATCACGACAATCATGAGGATGCCGTAGTAGGTGAGGTACGGCTGACACGGCGCAAAGTAGGGCAGGGCGCGGCGTTCGATCCCCTGGAGCTTGGCGCCGCGGTGGAAACGGACGTAGGTGATCAGGATACCTAGCCAGACAAGAAGACCCGAGATTGACGTCATATTGACGAACCAACCAAAGACCTGGGGCAGGAGACGAGCGTGAGACTCGGTCGTGGCACTGGATGAGAGGGAGAGAGAGAGAGAAAGAGAGAGTTGTCGACGCACCTCGCCTGCCTGCCCTGCTCCTGCCGCCATGTACGCCAAGAGCGCGAAAGCCGAGCTGACGATGATGCCGGCCCAGGGGACGCCCCACGAGGTCGTGCGCGACAGGATCCGGGGCGCATTGCCTTGCAGCGCGAGGCCGTGCAGCGTGCGCGACGCCGTGTACATGTCGGACGCCGCCGCCGACCATGCCGAGGTGAGGATCGCGGCATTGATGATGCTCGGGAGGGCCTGCAGGGGGAGAGAGGGGCGGCGAGAGGAGGAGAGGAGGGAAAGGTGGGAAGGAGGAGGAGCCGAGGACGGGGAGAGGGACAGTGGGTCAGGTCACGCTCCCATCGAGGCACGATAGTGGACGTCAGGAGACGCACCTTGATGCCTGCGTCCTGTATGGCGATGACGAACGGCGACGAGGCGGCGTCGCCAGTGCTGAGGTTCAAGCGAGGGTCGTTCGACGGGACGAGCAGGCCGATGATGAGCACCGACGAGACGTAGAAGAGGATGATGCGGATCCAGACCTGCGACAGGATGTCGAGAGTCAGTGCCGCCCTCTCGAGAAGGGGCAAAGAGGACCGTGCGCACCTTGCGGATGGCCGAGGGGACGGCGCGCTCCGGGTTCTTGGTCTCGGCGGCGGCAAGTGCGACGATTTCCGAGCCGACTGTGTGCGCGACGGCTCTGTGTCAGGTCGACTGCTCAGGCGCACGACCGGCGAGGGAAAGAGGCGACGCACTGTACGAGAAGGCAGCCTCTGCGAGCGGGAAGGACAGGTGTAAGCGACGACGTGGGAAGGAGGGACTGAGGAGCGTCACGCACGAGTCAAGACGGTCCAGAACCCGAGGAACTCGCCGAGGGAGCCAGGAATGCCGAGCAGGTGGACGAAAGGACCAGGGTCGCGCCTGTCGCAGGAGCTCGAGGTCAGTCTCGCGCCACTCTCGCTCGTCCGGCTCTCCTCCTTCATGATGAGAGTCTCCTCCTTCATGATGAGAGTCTCCTCCTTCATGATGAGAGGGGAAGAAGGAAGCGAGACGCACCAGTATCGGCCGCCGATGACCTCTCCTGACGGGCCTCCTCCCGCCGTCAGGACGATGCCGAGGATGACGAGCCCGACGATCGTGATGACCTTGATGCCGGCAAACCAGAACTGCAGGGCGAGCGACGTCAATCTCAGCACCAGGAGAGAGACTGAGAGGAGCGGACGCACCTCAGCCTCGCCGCTGCGTGAGCGAGAGGAAGGGGAGGAGAGGGGAGGAATAGGTCAGAGCTGCTCTCAGACACGCCCACACAGGCATACACGGTCGCCGTGCTCGTACGTGCAACCTCGGCAGGGGACAGCAAGCCGAGGAGGACGAGACGGCGAACGACCGGACGAAGGAGAAAGACGAGGAGGGGACGCACTAGACCCTCGAGCCGGCCATGTTGATGACGACGGCGCCGATGCCCGTGACGGTGATGTAGACGGCCGGGCTGGTCGTCTTGTCCCAGTAGCTGCGCGAGGGAGGACGAGTGTGAGCGAGAAGGTCCTTGCGCGGCTCGAGCGCCGCACGCGGCCTGATCTCGCGACGGGAGAAAGACTTAGGGCGCACCTGATGAGCACGGCAGACGCAGAGAGCTCGGCGGGTAGTGCGAGGAGGTAGTCGTAGGCGTTCCACCCTGCGACGAAGGAGAACACGAAGGAAGTCAGCGGACGGCTCAGGATCGACTCGAGGAGGCCTGCGTCTCGCCGAGGAGGCCTCAAGCCGACCTAGACGCAGGATAGAGCGAATAGAGGAGAAGAGAGTGCTCACAGCCGACCGTAAATCCGAGCGGGACGTTGACGAAGCGAGCGGCGAGGGTGACCTGGCCACCAGGGATGGGCAGCGCCGACGCCATCTCGCCGAGCGCCACCATGACGGCGTAGACGATCGTGCCCATGATGCTGTACCCGAGGAGGAGGCCGAGCTGCGAGAGGGACAGGGTCAGCTCTGACGAGGGGCGGAAGAGAAAGTGCGAGAGATCGAAACGGACTGGTCCTCCTCGCTCGAGCGCCGTGGCCGTGCCGAGGAACAGTCCGGTCCCGATAGCGCCTCCAATCGAGCTGCAGGAGGGAAGAGAGAGAGGAGGAGTCAGTGGGTGCGCCGTCAGAGCAGCTACAGTCGCAGCGCGAGAGCCTCCTCTCGCCCTCTCGCCGCCACCTGGGCGAAGGAGAAGAGAAAGGGGGGGGACGCACATCATGGCCACATGTCGGCTCGACATGTTGCGCTTGAGGTTCTGCCCCTCGCCGACCGCGCCGACCGCCGCTGGGCCCGAGAGCACCTCCTGCTTCTCGACGTCCTTCGCGCCGCTCCTGCGCGACGGCGAGCGCTCGACGACCGTGGGCGCACGACTAGACGTCGACATGCTGGACGTGCGGGGCGAGAGGAGAGGAGCTGGAAGGCGCGTCGAGGCGAGATCGGGCGAGAGAGGAGGCGGTGCGGCGCGCGCGAGAGGGGAGAGCGCGAGGTGGCGACGACGGCGGGTCCGAGGGTCGGCGCGCGCGGGTCGGGCAGTGGGCGAACGTCGACAGGAGGTGCACAGCGAGCTCGTGAAGCACAAGGCAAGCCCGAGACGAAAGTCAAGCCGGCCGCCGCGCTCACTTTTGCGATCAAAAAGTTGCGGGGAGGGCTAAAGTCCGTCGCTCGGCTCCGGCGACGCCTCGTCGGCGCGCCCTGAGCGTCGATCCTCCTGCTCTGGTACCGCCGCCGCCTCGCGCCGCTGCGCCGCTCGCCAACTCTCGACGACCCGGGCCGTCGCACCGCCGGCGAGCGCCTCGTGCGCCCGCGAAGCCGTGCCGAGACCCTCGTCCTCGCCGGCCGACCCGGGTTCGACGCCTCGCTCGTCGCGCACACGCTCGTAGAAGAGCAGGAACGGGTTGGCGCGCAAGGCCTCGTAGATGCTGGACGGGTCGACCGTCTCGTCCGAGATCCGGTACCAGTCGGGGAGCGCGGCCGACGAGCTCGCTCGCTCGTCGTCGGCGCCGAGCGACGGCCCGCATGTCGAGTCGGGGCGACGACGGAATGCGACGTAGTGACCGAACGAGTGCGAGCCGTAATGTACGACGAGCGAGGCGAGGCGGTAGACGTCCTGGAGGTCGGGCGGCGACGCGTCGGCGGAGGAGGAACGAGGACGAGTGTCGGCGCCGTCGCAGTACGGCGCCAGGTTGAGGTATTCGGGGAAGGTGACCTGGCACGAGTTCTTGATCGCGCCCGAGTAGCCGTAATGGGTCGAGCGGCTGAGGTGGATCGTGAGAAGCTCGGGCGTCTGCAGGGATGGGCGCTCGCTGTCAGGTCACGGTCGCTCGAGACAGGGAGAGATGCAGGGGACGCACACGAGCAAACCGATTGACCTTGCCGGCGGCCGACTCGCTCTTGTCCATCGTGATGTCGACGCCCGGGTCCTTCTCAAAGTCGGCCGCGTCGACGATGTCCTTGACCCGGTCGACGAGCTTCTGCACCTTGCGCCGCCGGTCCTTGCGCGACGCCGTCATCTTCTTGCTCTTGCCGCCCTCGTCCGTGTTGGGCGGCAGCTCGTACGGGTTCGGCGCTGCGCGAGCGGCAGAAGGCGTGCTGGGCGAGGCTGGAGGTGGTGCGACGAGGGCGAGGCGGTCGCGCTGGCCCTCGAGGCGGGCGAGCGTCGACAGCATGGCGCACCGGCGACAGTCGTAGCTCGAGATGAGGTCGGTCTTGGTGTACTCGGCGAGGAGGTCGTGCAGGGAGCAGTGGGCCTGTAGGAGGTCGTCATGTCAGTTCTGGACCCGACGCAGTCTGCGGTACAGCCGCAAAGAGAGAGTGGACACACTACAAGAGGAACGTTGAGCATCAAGAGCTCAGCCTCGACGTGCCGCGTGTCGCGAACGTAGCCGCACTCGAAGCACTTGATGCGCTGGCTCTGGAGCCAGAACCACGGGTCCGTCTCGGGCCTCCTGCTCCTGCGCTTGCCGAGCGCGATGCCGAGTCCGGCGCGCAGCGTCGCCGCCTCGGCGAGGCCCGTGCCTCGAGCGGCGGCGCGCTCCTGGGCGACGACGAGCCGGCGCGACTCGTCCTCGACGGCGTCGCGGATCATGAGCCACAGCTCGTGCGCGTCCTGCTGCTCGCTCGTGGCGAGGAGGCGGCGACGGGTGGGCGACGAGTCGGCGAGGGCCGAGGCGAGCTCGACAGGTCGCAGAGGTTGCGGGCGAGAGGGGGACGGCGTGTTGAGCGCGTCGAGGGTGGCAAGGAGGGAGGAAGTGACGGGGAGGGACAGGTCGAGCTCATCGGCAGAGGTGACGAGCTGGTCGAGGTAGGCGAGGAGCGCCGGGAGGGAAGCCATCGACTGGTGGGGGCAAACGGAGGGCTGTGAGCGAGGGCGGCGAGTGGGAAGGGGGAACGAGGTCGACGCACCTGGAGCGTCGCGTTGAGGAAGCAGAGGTTGCCCGCCGCGTTTAAGAGGCCCGGAAAGTGTTGTTCTGCTCGAGGTGCGGAAAGTGAGCGTCACTCGTGAGGGGAATGATGGAGGGAAAGGGGAAGGGGAAGGCGCACCTGCTCCTGCCGCGCCAGCCTGTGCCCGAGTCCTCACCATCTTGGCCTTGCCGTGCGCCTGCGTCGCACCGCCCGCGAGCGCCGCGAGACCCTCGCCGTCGCCGGCGCCGCTGCCCCACCCGTCGGTCTTGTCCCAGTCGAGCTTGGCGAGGCCGCTCTTGCCGAGGAAGGACGACACGCCGAGTGACACCATGTCGCCGAGCTGGGCGAGCGACTCGAGTGGGGCGGTGAAGAAGGGGAGGCCGAGCAAGGTCGACAGGGCGATGAGGAGGAGGGTGGTTGCGACGACGACGCCAGACAGGCCAGAGAGCAGTGGCTGCAGGTCGAGGGTGGTGCTGTACGTGTCGAAAGAGCTGCTGCGGTACCCAGAGTGGCTCATGCTCTGCCCATCGCAGCGTGGTCGACGGCCAAGGCGAGTTGGCGAAGGCGAGCCGAAGTGTCACACCAGCCTCTCAAGCTTTCGCTCGGTCGCTGCAGGCCGAAGGTCTATGGACTAGAGATGGTACTGCAAGGCACTGCCGAGTACATGGTGCGAAAGAGAGAGAGAGCAACGAAAGCGCGTCCACCTCCTCGGCGCGACGACGAGGTCGAGCGCCGTCGCACGCTCGACGATCAAGGCTCCCAGCCCATCGGCACAAGCACGAGCGAATCGTCCGGCTCGCCCGCTCCTCCCGTCGCCGTCGCCGCCGCCGCCGCCTCGCCGTGCGCCGCCTCAGGTGCCGTGCTCCTCACCCTGCGGCTCCTCGCGCGGTGCAGCGCCTCGACGACGGCGCGCATGTTGCCCGACGGCTCGCCGACCTGCTCGACGAGTGCGCCGTCGGCCGGCTCGAGCTCGGCGGCGGCCGAGGGCGCAGCGACGCCGAGGTCGGCGTCGGACGAGGCGCCGCCGCGCAGGGGCACGACGCGGCGCTGCGAGCGAGCGTGCGCCTCGGCGATCGACGCGCTCGTGCGGCGAGCCGTCGCAGGCGCCGGACACGACGCCTCGCCCGCCGCCGCGACGGCCGGCGGCGAGTGCGCCCGGCTCGTCTCGGACGTCGACGCGCTCGTCACCGCGAGCTCGGGCAAGGCTGCGGTTGCCCTCGTCCTGCTGCGGGCACGCTCGGCGGCCGCATCGCGGACAGCTGCGACATGCGGACCCGGCGCCGGCGCGTCCGCCGCCTCGACTGCGTCCGAGCGGCGCTCGGCCCGACGATGCTGCGCAAAGTCGACGAACGCCTCGCTCGCGCCCTGGCCAGCGTCCATGTCGACCTCGACGTCGCGCGACTGGCCGTCGCCGATGTGCTCGACGAACGTGGTGCGCCAGATGCCGTCGCGCCGGTTCTCGACATGCGGCGCCGGCCGGCCGGGGCCAGAGCCGAACGAGTAGGCGGGGCGGATGCTGCGCGGTGCGAAGCCGCGCGCGCCCGGCTGCACGAGCCAGCTAGAGTGTTGCTGCCGCGACGAGCGCTGCTCGGCCGGCGGCCTCGAGGTGCGCGTGCGGGCGCGAGACGCCTCGTCGGCGCGCGACAGGACGCCCGGGTCGCAGCGGATGATGGCGCGCAGGAGGTCGAACAGGTCGGCGGCGGCGATGGGCGCGTCGTGCCACGGCGAGTCGTTGAGCGCGGCGACGAACGCCTCGAGGTTGTCGACGTGCGACGGGAAGGGCAGGGTGAGGAGGAGGTTCCACAGCTGCTCGAACGGGACGACGCCGCGCATCGGCGTGCCCCTGATCGAGTGCAACTGGTTGTAGAGCGTGTACTCGGTGCCGTCGGTGCGGTCGGGCCCGGCGAGCCGGCGGCCGTCGTCGCGCTGCGGGCTCAGGCCGCCGCCGCCCGCGGTCGTCGCGCCCTGCTCGACGCCCCTCGCCACCGCGCGCTCGTCGGCCATGAGGCGTGCCGGGGTGCCCACGGGCTCGAGGTTGCGCACGAACGCGATCTCGTCGTCCGATTCGGTCTCGCTCTGGCTCGCGAACAGGCGCGAGACGGGCGCCGGGTCGTCCTGGTCCTCGCTCGAGGACGATGCGACTCGTCGGAGCCGGCGCAGGCGCGGCTGGGCAAAGGCGGACACCCACGTGGCCGAGGTTGAGGCGGCAGGGCCAGAGTCGGTGCGGCGGACCTTGCGCGGGCGGCGGGTCGTCGTCTCCTGCGAGAGGTCACGGGAACGAGGGTCAGCCTGCACCCTCTCGAGTCGACAGGTGCCGCACAGGGAGACAGGGACGCACGTAGAGGAGGACCTCGACCGCGCGCAGGCTCGCCTCGTCGCGGATGTCGAGCGACTCGCAGAAGTGCTCGTAGGTCGACGCGGGTCCTCGGCGGCGGGGCGACTGCATGGCGGCCTGGAGGAGGAGCTTGACCTTCTCGAGGAGGAGCGCGTCGTACGCGGCGGGCGAGAGCTGGCCCATGTTGTCGCCACGCGGGAGAGCTCGAGGCCGACTGCGACGACGAGCGCGACGAGAGGCGGGTGCTGCTGTCGGTGGTGGTTGGTCGGGGTAGGGTGGTCGAGCGCGTGCGCTGTACGGCGAGGTGGTGCACGTGAGGTGAGGCGAGGGGAGGGGAGGGGAGGGAGGACGGGAGGAGGACGACGTCGACGAGAGTTGGGAGAGAGCTCGAGTACTGCGAGTCCGGGGGAGGCTCGGCCCGGGGCAAGGGGACGCTCAGCGGTTAGCCGACCACGTTGCGCGCGGCGAGCGAGATCTCTCGAGCGCGCGGTCGGAGCTCGGGAAAACGACCAAGTCCTCCTCCTTCTCTCCCTTCTCCCCCCGTACCCGCAACCCCTCGTACAGCACCGTACATCATGTTGATCTACAGTGACGCACTCACGGGCGACGAGCTCATCTCGGACGCTTACGACGTGCGTTGTCCGCTTGTCCATCCGTCCTCTCCTCGTCGAGCTGGCTCCTGACCCTCGTTGCACCCTCGAAACAGCTCACCGAGACCGACGACGTCGTCTACGAGGCCGACGCGACCATGATCACCATCAAGGAGGGCGCCGTCGACATTGGTGCCAACGCGTGAGCTCTCCCCATCCTCCTCCTGGTCCCTCGTCCTGGTCCCTCCCCCCTCCTCGCTCTCCGCACCTGCCGTGTCGATCACGTCGCTGACCCACCTCGCACCTTGCAGCTCCGCCGAGGAGGCCGAGGAGACCCTCGAGGAGGGCGAGCAGCGCGTCAACAACATCGTCCACTCGTTCCGCCTCACCGAGACCCAGTTCGACAAGAAGTCGTGCGTCCCCTCGCTCTTCCTCGTCGCCCAGGGACTCGAGACTGACCCTGCTCGACGTTGCGCACAGGTACATGACCTACCTCAAGGGCTACATGAAGGCGGTCAAGGCGCACCTCGCCGAGACCAACCCGGACCGTGTCGCCGCGTTCGAGAAGGGCGCCGCCACCTACGCCAAGAAGTGCGTCCCTGCTCTCTCTGCCTCTCGTGCGCGAGGAGCCCCTCGCTGACCCGCTCTTGCGACACCCAGGGTCCTCGGCAGCTTCAACGACTGGCAGTTCTTCACCGGCGAGTCGATGAACCCGGACGGTATGGTCGGTGAGTACTCGCAGCCCTCCCCTGTCCCTCTCTTGCGCACCGAGACTGACTCGTCTCTCTCCCACAGTCCTCATGAACTACCGCGAGGACGGCGTCACGCCCTACATGGTCTTCTGGAAGGACGGCGTCAAGGAGGTCAAGGTCGTGCGTCTTGGCCCCTCCCTCTCGTCCACGCCTCGCTCGGACATGTCGACTGATACCTCTCTTTCGCAGTAAACGACCTCTCGACGGCCCTCCTTTTCCCCTCTCTCCGTGGTCCTTCCCCGTTTCACCCTGCCGACAGCTGTTCCCAGTCGGCATTTTCCTTCTTTCCCTGCCTTTCCCTACACTCTAGTTGTAGCACCGCGCCGCATTACACTACCCCGTCGTTCACACGCGCTCACTTTCCCTCGCGAGAGCTGCGAGAGAGCGTGCGGTAGAGGTGCGAGCGAGCACGCGCATCCCGTCGAGCAGCGAGTTGTCGTCTCCCGTGAGCTCCGCAAGCCCGCTCGCCGCTTTGCAGTACCTCGAGGATGATCCCGCTGTGGCAGGCGAGAGCCAGCAGGGCACGAGAGGGCTATCGGGCTCGAGGCCGTCATCGGCGGACAGTCGACCTTCGCCGCGCCGGCTTGGCTCCTCTCGACAACCGCTCGCTGCCTCTGCCCAGCTCGGCACTGCTGCAGAGCGCGCACGCAACCTCCTCGATCGCCCGCCGTCTGCGCACAACCAGCTGCCAGCCCGCCTCCTCTTGCCGGACCAGGTCGCCGACGAGCCCACCTCCGCCTCGCTGCGCCAAGATGGCGACGGCCGACAGCCTGCGCGCGCGCAAGGACCAGATCGTCGCCCAGTTTCACGAGCACGCCGACCTCGTGCGCGACGTCCAGCGCCAGGCCATCGCCGAGATCCTGCCGGCCCTCCGCGAGGATGAGGGGTTCGATGAGGCTGCTATCGCGGCGGGCGAGGCTCTCCTGCGGGACCGAGGTGCGCCCAAAGCTCTCCTTGCCCTCCCCTCTGCATGCGGGAGCTGACCTGAGCTGTCCCCTTTCGCGCGCCCAGTGACCGTCTTCCGCTTCTGCCGGCGCGCGCGGTTCTCGCCCTCTGCATCGCTCAAGCTCCTCCACGCCACGGTCCACTGGCGCCTCACGTCGTCGCTCCAGTACCTGTCGCCGGCGACCGTCGACCCGCTGTACCTCGACCAGCCCCTGTTCTTCTTCCACCCGGACCTCGTCGACCGGTTCGGCCGACCCTGCGCCGTCCTCAACCTGCGCCACGTCAAGCGCACCGACGACGGCACGCTCGACGCGCTCAAGGACTATGCGCGCCTCGGGTGGGAGATCGGTAGGCGGTACTTGACCGACCTGAGCCGCCGAGCCGCCGAGGGAGGCGACCCCAAGCTGCAGATCGTCGTCATTGTCGACCTCGAAGGCGCAGGCATGTCCAACCTGGTGCGTCCACCCTCCCAGACGTCCTCCCTTTCTCGGCGACAGTCGTGACTGACTCTTTGGCCCCTCCCTCGTCGACAGGAAATGGAACTCTTGCCGTTCTTCCTCGACCTGCTGCGCTCGCACTTTCCCGGCATGGTCGGCGCCAGTGCGTCCTCTCCCTCTCCTCTCTCGTCGTCTATGCCTGACCGTCGTGCGTCCCGCAGTCTTTGTCCTCAACTACGGCTGGGCCTACGCCGGCATGTGGCAGCTCGCCAAGCGGGTCCTGCCCAACACGGCGCTCGAGCGCATCCTGTTCCCGTCCAAGGCCGAGCTGCTCGAGTTTTTCGACGAGAAGCACTTGCTTGTCGGTGCGTCCCTCTTTCACTGGCGTTGGGTGTCGTCAAGGCGCGAGAACTGACGCCCCCGTACCCGTCGTGCGCGCAGAACACGGCGGCCAGGTCCGGTACGAGTACACGCCGACCAACATCATCCTCGAGAAGTACGGCTACGCGTCGTCCTCGACCGCCCCGTCGCTGCGAGCGACGCCGCTCGGCTCTTCGGCGTCCCTCTCGAGCGAGGTCTTCCAGTCGGCCGCCAACAGCCGCACCGGCACGCCGTCCGCCTCGCCGCGCACGCGCACCCTCGAACTCGCCATGACGCCCTCACTCAGAGGCGACAGCACCCTCGGGCCGGCGCCGCCGTCGCAGTGGGCGCCCCGGCGGCACGGCTCGGTCGACCTGTCGGGCGGCGCCGGGCCCGGGAGCTCGCTGCGGCGGGTGCGCAGCCTCGCCGAGCTGCAGCACAAGCTCGAGCAGACGCAGCGCGAGATCGACAGCGACGACTCGCTCGATGACGACTCGGCGAGTGACGAGACGGCGACGGCCGAGGGCGGCGAGACGGGCGAGGAGGGGACCGACTCGCGCTTCGCGAGCACGACGGCGTCGGGCAGGAGCTCGAGGTTCTCGAGTCGGGCGACAAGCCGGGCAGTGTCGAGGGCGCAGTCGAGGGAGGTGTCGCCGATGCGGCGGCGCGCGCTCGAGCCGCTGTCGGGGCTCGACCCGCACGGCTCCGGGCAGGCTCACCTCGACATGGTCATGGTGCGCCCCTCTTTCACTTCAAGCCTTTCCTCCTTGTGACGAACTGACATCCCTCTCTGCGCACACAGTCGCCGTACAACGCCTCGAACCCGCACTTTGGCTACCCGGCCTACGTCCCGACGAGCGGGCTCGACGCGACGGGCATCCCTCGCCCTCGGCACCTCCGCCGCCGCAAGCGCGACCTCGTCCGCACCCTCACCTACCTCGCCGCCCTGCGCTTCCTCGCCTTGCACCGCGCCATCCACCACCGCCTCAACCTCCTCATCGCGCTCCTCCTGCGCCTCACCGGCTTTGCCTGGTGGCGCAGCTGGTGGGCACGCCGGCTCGCCCGTTCGACGCGCGAGTCCGACTCGGTCGACGCTGCGGTCGCGGCCGTCGCCGGCAAGGAGCCGCACGACCGGCGCGTGCACTGGGCCGAGAGCCAGGCGGGCTCGTCCGGCGCATCGTCCGGCTCGTCGAGTGCGACATCGCTCGCCGCCATCGCCTCGTCTCAGCCACACGAGTACCGCTTCCCGCACGCGCAGCTGCTCAACCCGTCGGCCCTGCGCTCGTCGACCACCTCGTCCTCGACGGCGCCGGCATCGTCGGCGTGGGCGACTTCGGCGACGACGGCGCCGTTCATCGAGGTCGACCCGTCGTACCTCTACCTGTGCCTCGTCTTCCTCGTCCTGCGCACGCCGAACCGCCGCGACAAGCTCAAGAGCCTTGCACGCGGCGTAGCGGTCGGAGCGCCGACGTGGGCTGCGGGCAAGGCGCGGCGGGCAGCACTGCGGCTGCTCGTCGGGAGGGAGGCGGCCGAGGCTGTACTCGCTCGCGAGCGTCTCGGTGGGGCCTGATGGCGGGCCAGCTTGTGTACAGATCGCCCTGTTGCTCTCCTCCTCGTTCGTGTCGTTGCCCCTCGATATCCTCTCTGCGCCATCTTGCATTGCACGCCTGTTTCTTCTCGCCCCTCTGCGCTCTCGAGAGGGACCGTCCTGCGCTCGACAGCTCGACGCAAGAGAGTCGGGTGAGGTGTGCGACGGCGCAAGTTTCGGGAACGACGACGAGGTGGGGCACGCTCCCTCGCACCCTCCACCCGCCACTCGCTTATGGGCAAGCAGCATAAGCCGGTGCTCCCGAGCTCTACAGCAACTCGCGCACCACCCCGCACACGCTCCACCATGCGCCTCGTCGTCGCCGCCGTCGCCCTCCTCATCCTCATCGCCCAAGTCTCGTCTCAGCTGCTGTTCCCCGTCAACCAGCTCCCGTTCCGGCTCGGCGGCAACTCGACTGCGGCCGGTGGTGCTGGTGTGCACTGGGTGGAGAAGCGCGTACCTCGGATCGCTGTCATCGGTGCAGGAGCTGGAGGTGCGTCCCCTCCGAGCCTCTCTCTTCACATCGTCCCGCCAACCCAGCTGACTCTCGTCCTCCCTTGCAGGCTCGTCGGCCGCCTACTTCCTGTCGCACTTCGCCCAGCTCAAGGACCTCGGCCTCGAGACCGACGTCACCGTCTACGAGTCGTCGGACCATGTCGGCGGCCGCTCGAACGTCCTGTGGCCCTGGAACGACGACCCGCTCGTCGACCCGAGGCCGCTCGGCGCCACCCAGAACGACACCGAGTACGAGCCGCCGGTCGAGATGGGCGCATCTATCTTCGTCAGCGCCAACTCGAACCTCCAGAAGGCGGTGCGCGAGTTTGGCCTCGAGCTGGACGCGTACGGCGGCGAGAACGGCCGCACGGCCGTGTGGGACGGCGAGCGGTGGGTGTACGAGGAGAAGGGCGCGTTCGGCTGGGGCTGGTGGTCCAAGGTCAAGGCCGTCTGGCGGTGCGTCTCGGTCTCTCGTTCTGCTCCCTCGACGGGCGCACCTCCTGACTCTGTCCGTCCTGCAGCTACGGCCGCAGCCCGTTCAAAGCCCGCTCACTCGTCAAGAGCACCGTCGACAACTTCCTGCGCCTGTACTCGGCCGACTTTGTCTCGCAAGGCGCCTTCGCGTCGCTCGCCAACTTCTCGACCGCGACGCACCTCGCCGGCCCGGCGTCGCACTACGCCGACGAGTACCTGACGCACTCGGGCGTCGGCGAGCTCTTCACCGACGAGCTCATCTCGGCGGCGACGCAGGTCAACTACGGCTCGCCCATCACCCAGATTCACGGCGTCGGCGCCCTCGTCTCGCTCGCCGCGACGGGCGCGACGTCGGTCCACGGCGGCAACCGCCGCATCTTCGAAGAGTTTGTCGGCAGAAGCGGTGCGCGGCTGCGCCTCGGCGAGACGGCTCGCGTCCAGTCGATCCTCAAGCTCGACGCGACCAAGGGCAAGCGGGCGCAGTGGGTCGTCAAGACGACGTCGGGCGTTGGCGGCGGTACCTACGACGTACGTGATCGAGTGTGTCGAGGAGCAGAAGATCGGCCCTGACCCGCTTTGCGTGCGCGCAGGCCGTCATCCTCGCGGCGCCGTTCCACCAGTCGGGCATCCAGGTCGTCAACGCGGTCGCGGCGTCTTTGATCCCCAAGCAGGCCTACGTCAAGCTCTTTGTCACCTTCCTCATCACCAAGTGCGTCTCGTGCTCGCTCTCCTTGTCGGGGGCTCGAGGGACTGGCCTCTCGACCTTCCTAACCTCTGGCGCCCTCGCTTCGCAGCGCCTCGACCCCTCAGCCCTCGTACTTCGACCTGCCGCCCGACACGCACATGCCGAACGAGATCTTTGGCACTTTTACGACGCCGAGCCGCCACAAGCCGACGTTCAATTCGCTCAACTACCTCAAGCCGCTCCCGGCGGCGCTCGGCGCCAGGTTCGGCGAGGGCACGTTCCACGTCGTCAAGATGTTCTCGAGCCGCTCGCTCGAGCCCGAGATGCTCGACGCCCTGTATGGCCGCGGCAACGTCGCCAAGGTCGTCGAGAAGGTGTGGCTGGCGTACCCCGAGTTGCGGCCCGTCAAGTCGCAGGGCGACTTTGCGCCGGTTCGACCCGACGAGGGCCTGTACTACGTCAACGGCTTTGAGCGCCTCATCTCGACGATGGAGACAGAGGTGCGTCCCTCGTTCTCTACGTCTCTCGATCGTCCTCGGCGCGGTCGAGCCTCGACTGACTTTCCTCGCCCGTGCCCGCCCGCCTGCAGACCGTCTCGTCGTTCAACGTCGTCTCGCTCCTCCTCAACGACTTGTTCGACTACACGCCGCCTACGAGCTGGGCAGAGTGGGACGACGGCGAGGCGGCGGCGTCGTAGCTCTCTCGAGGAGGGCTCCCCTTTCCCGAGTCGCGACCTGCACTGCCAGATGTACCTCTTCCCTCGAGCCTGTCGCGCCTGCCGCCCGGCGTTCCTTCTTCGTGTGCGGGCGACTGACTGTGCGACTGCAGGTCAGAGCGCTGCGTCGCCGCCGCCGCCTCCTCGTCCGCCGTCGGCAAGTCACCTTCTCCGCCGGCGTCCTCATCATCGCCGCTCAGCTCTCTGCGACTACACGGCGTCCATCTTCCTCTCGAGCAGCTCGCAGGAGCGAGGTGTACGGCGCTGCGCCTGTCCGTGTCTCATCGTCGTCGGCGCCGGCCGGGTCGAGAATGATGTGGGGTCGAGCCGGTGCGCTTCCCTTTCTTCTCTTCCTCGCCGCCCTCCTTGGTCCGGCCCGCGCCTCACTCCTGCACCTCGGTCGCAGAGACTCGATCATTCGGCTTCTCTCGGGCACGCCTCTCGCGCGTGCACCCCGACCCGTCTCGCCCTTTGTCGTCGTCGGCACCGTCTCGGACGACCTGCATCTCGCCTCGAATCGTCAATCGCCGCCAGGCAAGCTCAGAGCGCAGCCGACAATGCACCCGGACAGCTTCCTCGCGCGCTCGCGCGCGTCCGCCTTCGCTTCGTCGTCGCCGTCGTCGTCGACCCTCGCCCTCTTCCTCCTCCCGGCCGTCGGCGAGATGCCCCCTCCCTACGACACCCTCGCCCCGCACACGCCGTCCGAGCCGCGCCAAGACCCGTCTCTCAGGACACCCCGCCGCAACGACGACCGCGCTCGCCGCGACCCCACCCGCCGCTCAGCCGCCCATGACCGTCCCGCTCTCCCTCTCGGCGCGGCGCGGCGCCCCCTCGCCGCCCAAGGCGCTCATGACGCCGCCGCCTTACTGCGCCTCGCCGCCGCTCGTACCCGTCGAGTCGCGCTCGCCCGACCTCGCCGGCGCCGACGGGCTCAAGGGCGCATCCGGCCCGCGAGGAGGAGCGGGCGACGAGGACGGCGAGGACAAGTACCTCGCGCTCGCGACGCCGGCGCAGCGGAGCTACTTCGTCACGCTGTCGGGCCTGTTTGAGGGTGCGGCGGTGCAGAGCCGGGAGGGAGCGTCGCCGGTCGAGGAGAAGGAGGTGCCGGGCAGGACGAGCTGGGCTCGGGGGCGGCAGGACGACGGTGCGTCTCTCTCTCTCTTTCGTCTCTGCCCTGCGAGCAGGTCCTGACGTCCTTCTTCGACACGCAGAGCGGGATCGAGGCTGCGGGTACAGCTGCTGCACCGTCTCGTGAACTCTTTCCCGTCCTCTCGCTCTCTCTGTGTAGCTCTCAGTCTAAAGGGGACGACATGTTGTGATTGTACAAGCAACAAGTTACTGCGACTGCGACGAGGAGAGGCGAGAGAGCGGCTCAGAGAGCTGGTGCAGGAGGAGGGGGGAGAGGGAGTTCGCCCGGCGCGGCGGCGGCGTCTTGCACGAGCAGCTCGGCGAGCATCCCTGTGTGCGCGCACTCGAGTCAGAGAAGATCGACAGAGGAGAGAAAGAGAGGGAGATGCGCGACGCACCGAGCGCGACGAGCGCGGGCCCCTCGAACGCCCTGTCGGCATCGGCCCACAGCGCCCTCCTCGTTCCGGCGCCTTTGCGCCGAATCCTCGTCGCCTTGACCGCCTTGAGCTCGGCGTCGGTCCCCCACCGAGCGAGGCGCGCCTCCTGCGCCTGGGCGCGCTGCTCGAGGGCGTCAAAGTGGGCCTGAGCGGCGGGCGGGAGGCGAGAGGTCGAAGCGGAGGGGGGAGGGACGAGGTTGTGGGTCGAGGTGAGGAGGTGCGAGGCGTGCGAGTGGAGGGACGTGAGGAGGTCCTGTGAGAGTGTGCGGAGCAGTCAGTGAGGCTCAGTCGGCGGTGGAGGAGACGCAGAGGACGAACGTGCGAGGGAAAGCCTGCGGGAGGAAGAGGTCAGGGCGGTCGATTGCGAGCGAGGGGAGGGCGGCAGGACGGACCAGGAGGGAGGTCTACGTCGTCGAGGTGCACCTCGGGCTTGACGAGCTGGCCCTTGATGCGTCTCGTGCGCAGGGCGGCCGTCTTGCGCGACGCTGCCCGCCGGTCGCCGCTCGTCGCGGTGGCCGTCGTCGGTGCGTCGTCGTCCGTGTCGGTGCTGCGGGTGCGACGCTTGTGGACAAAGCCCTTGTCGGCAAGGACGAGGTCGTCGTCGTCGTCGTCGTCGCTCGTGTTGGAGGACCGGGTGCGCTTCTTCTTCGAGTCGAGGGCCTTGCGGTGTTTGACGGCGAGGGTGTGCGACCGAGTGAGGACGACGTCGTGCAGGAAGGTCGAGGCTGGGCCGCGCTGGACGGTGCTGGCGAGGGAGCGCACTGCGGCCCGCTCGTGGGCGAGGGGAGCTGGCTGGGCGAGGTCGACTGGGGGCGGGTCGGGCTGGCGGATGTGGGCGAAGAGGGAGGGGACGTCTGGCAGTGGCTGCACGGGCGCCATCGTGCTGCGCGGCTCTCTCAGCGAGAGAGAGAGAGAGGGGAGAGGGCGGTGCAGCCAGCTCGACCGAGTCTGGCTCTCGGCTCTCACCTCGATCGCAGCTGTACCCTGCTGTGCAGCTCGACAAGATGGCTCCCACCACCGACTCGGCACCCCCGACCACCACAACACCCGCCTCGTCCAACCTGACCCCGACCCTCTTCCGCCGACTCTTCCCTCGACCCTACCTCGAGCGCTTCCTCGACCAGGGCATCAGGCCAGACGGCCGCACCCTCGACTCGAAACCCAAAGCCGCTCTCTGCTGGAGGGACCCGTCCGCCAACACCGGTCAGCCCTCGTCCCCTTCCTCTCTCTCTTCATCAGCTCGAGCGAGGTGGACGACTCCTGCACCTCGAGAGGCTGCAAGCGCCGGCTCATTGCCCTTCTGCGCCCTGTCAAAGAGTGTTCACGGCCTCGGCACGCTCCTGGAGCGGGCCCAAGCACGCAAGCTCACCTCGCCTCTCTGCGCCCGCAGGCTCCGTCTCGACTGCACCATCCTCGGCCCTCGTTCGCCTCGGCAAGACGTCGGTTGTCTGCGGCATCACCCTCGAGATCGCCGCGCCGGACCTCACTCGACCAAACGAGGGCTTCATCGGTACGTCCCGCCCTCACACCTCGACCGTACGAGCGGCGCACTGACTCTTCCTTCGTGCGCAGTGCCCAACATCGACTTGAGCCCGCTCTGCTCGCCCCGGTTCCACCCTGGTCCGCCTTCTGACGAGGCGCAGGTCCTCTCGGCGCGCCTGCGCGACATCATCCTCTCGTGCGCCTCCCTCTCCCTCTCTGTCCTCTCGCAAGCGACGGCGACTTACCCTTGCGCGCTCTGTCACCAGGTCCAACGTCCTTCCGCTATCGTCCCTCGTCATCGAGCCGGGCAAGGCCGCCTGGGTCGTCTACCTCGACATCGTGTGCCTCAACTTTGACGGCGGCGTCCTCGACGCTGCAGTGCTCGCGGCCGTCGGCGCGCTCCGCAGCTGTGCGTCCCCTTCTCCAGCCTAGTCTTGGCCTTCGTTGTCACTGACACACGATCTCCTTCACTCAGTGCGGTTCCCTCAAGCAGCGCTCGACCCGGACACGAACGAGGTCGTGTGCGAGCGCGTTTCGGATGCGCATCCGGGGCAGCGGATAGCGCCCGCGAGCGAGCCTTTCTGCGTCTCGTTCGGTGTCTTTCACGGGTGCGTCCCTCGCCTCAACTCACCTCGCCGAGCGATCCCTGAATCGCGTCGCCCGTCCACCCGCAGGCACCTCCTTCCCGACCCGACCCTGTTCGAGGCCGAGCTGTGCTCGACGCAGTTCACGGTCGTCGTCGGCGCGGCACCGACGGGCTCGCTCGCCAAGGCGCCGCTCCTGCACGTGTACCAGGCCGGTGCGCCGCTCGACCGGGCGCGCGAGACGGTGGGCGAGTGCGTCAGGCTCGCGAGGGAGAGGGCGGCAGAGCTGAGGCGGGTCGTCGACATGTAGAGACTGCCGTGCACTCGAGCATTGTTGTACTGCTCTCGAGACTCGCTGCAGAGAGCGCCGTGTGAGGGCTTCCCCACTTGCGCGAGTGGCCCTCTCTCGCTCCGTCATCTCACGGCTGGACATGGCTCGCTTGCTCGACTTGCCGCTCGAGCTCGTGTCGCACATCATCGCACTCGCCTGCACGCCCGCCGCACCTCCCACCGCCCTCTCGCTCGCCCGCACCTGCCGAGCCCTCCGCCCGCTCGCGCTCCCCCTCCTCTGGTCGCACCTCGTCCTCGGCTCGTCGCGCAGGATCGCCGCCCTCATCGAATCGCCCGACCTGCGCACCTGCGCGCGCAACGTGCGCAGCATCGCCTTCGTGCCGCGCGACACGGACGGCGGGGCGAGAGGCGGGGTGGGGAGGGGGATCGGGACGAGCGAGACGGTCGAGGGGAGGGACGCGGCGAGGGTGCTCGAGCGACTGAGGGAGCTGTCGGAGGAGCGGGACCGGGACGAGGACTACGGGGCGCGAGGGACGGGGCTCGAGGTGCTCGACATCGCGAGCGTCGACGCGCTCAGGGTCGAGGTGCTCCAGGGCGAGTGGCTCTCAAGTGCGTCGCCTCCAGCCTCTCCTCCACGAGTCACGCGGCGGCGGGACTGACCCTTTCCGCCGAGCAGGTCTGCGCGACCTCACCCTCGGACCCAGCATCGTCCTCCCGACCAACTGCCCGCTCTCGCCTCCCACCTTCTCGTTCCACCTGAAAGCCCTCGCGCTGCACAACAACCACTGGCAGTCGCTCCCGTCCAACCTCCTCGCCGCCGTTCTCGAGACGGCCCTGCCCGAGCGCGAGCGTGACGGCGTCCCCGGCCGCGGCGGGCTGCGGCACCTCGACCTGCGCGCGACGTACAACGTCGCCGCCTTGAGGCCGTTCCTCGAGCGTCTCTCGAGACCGGCCGTCGCAGCGCCGAGCGGCGGCGGCGCCGCGGCGCGAGGCTCGTCCGTCCTGCAGACGGTCGAGTCGCTCATCCTCCCCGTCTTCGAGACGGACGACCACCTCGACTTTGCCCTCGCCGCCCTATCTCTATGCTACTCCCCGCCGTCGACCTCGCCGTTCGCGCCGCCGACTTGGACCGACGCGCCGCCGCCCACGCCGGCCCAGGCGCACGCCCGGCAGCGCCTGCGGTACGTCGAGCTGCCGCCGCTGTCGTCGCCGTCGTCCGGGCACTACGACGCGCTGTGGGCCGTCATGGCGCTCCTCTTACGCGGCACGAGCTGCGAGGGCGAGGGCGGCGTCGAAGCGGGCCGTGCGCCAGATGGGCTGCGCGAGGTCGGGCTGCGAGGGTGGGCCGCGTTGCAGGTGGTCGAGACGGCGCACGCCGTGCTCGCCGCTGCAGGGATCGACCTCGCGCGCGAGGTGGGCGGCGGGGCGGGAGCGCGCAGGCTCGCGCTGCGGTTCGTCGGCCTGCGGGAGGAGCATCAGGGGACGGCGGTCGAGCTGAGAAGGGCGGTCGAGCTGCTCGAGGGCAACGGGTTCGAGGTGCGGTGGGGGCCTTATGAGGTCGAGAGGGAGCTGTAGATGCGCGTCGAGCCTGCGAATCATTGTGCGAGACCCTGAGCAAACGGCACGTGCAGCAAAGTCGAGTGAGCGCGAGAGGAGGAGCGGCGCGCTGTCCCAACCTCTCGCCCCAGCTCTCACGCGCGCATGGCAGCTCCACTGGCTGGTGCAGCACTCAACGTGCCCCCTGCAACGCGCATCACGCGCTCGGCGTCCACCCTGCGCAAGCAGGTCGAGCCCTCGACCCCCGCGTCCGCCTCCGACCGCGACCTCGACCTCGGCGGCAACGACGACGACGACGACCACGACATGCACGACGAGATCGTCCTCGCGTCAGTCCCTGCCGGCACCGCCGCCACGACCACCGACCCGGCCCTGTCGTCGCAGACGCGCCGCCAGCTCGCTCGACCAGGTTCGTCGACGTTCGACTACGGCGAGCCGGACGCGCTGTCGAGGGCGGCGGGGCACTCGCTCGGCGCGTACAGCGACGTCGAGGACGAGGACGCGGCCATGCGGGTGCAGGACGAGGACGACGACGAGGACGGCCTCGAGGTCGAGCCGGAGGAGGACGAGCAGGACGACGAGGACGAGGCGGCGAGCTCGTCTGAGCACGAGCAGGACTCGCGGTCCGAGGGCGAGATCCAGGCCATCGGGCACGAGATGGATGGCGTCGAGCGGTCCGTGCCAGGGCTGCTCGGCAAGTACCACCTCGTCGACCGCCTCGGAGAAGGTGCGTCTCTCTCCCTCGCGTCCTCGTGTTCCTGCGCCTCTCGGGCTCACGCACACGACTACGCGCAGGCACATTCTCGTCGGTCTACAAGGCGGTCGACCTGCACCACGAGTCGTTCGACAACTCGTCGTGGCAGCCGCAGGCCCAGGCGAGGAGGGGCAAGGTCTACGTCGCCGTCAAGCGCATCTACGTCACGAGCTCGCCGAGTCGCATCCTCAACGAGCTCGAGATCCTGCACGACCTGCGGTCCGTCTCGCTCTCGTCCCTCGTCCTCTGTCGAGCCCAACCTGACCCAGCTCCTCTCGCTCCCGGACCGCAGCGGCGCTCGGAACGTCGCCTACCTCGTCGACGCGATCCGCCACGAGGACCAAGTCGTCGCCGTCATGCCCTTCAACCGCCACCAAGACTTCCGAGTGCGTCGTCGTCGAGCCCGTCGTCCGAGCCGACCTCCCTGACTTTTATTTCTCTCGCGCACAGACCTACTACCGCACCGCGACACTTCCTCTCCTCCGCTCCTACTTCTCGTGCCTGTTCCGGGCTCTCGCCGCGACGCACAACCTCCAGATCATCCACCGCGACGTCAAGCCGGCCAACTTCCTGTTCGACATCACGACCGGCCAGGGCATCCTGTGCGACTACGGCCTCGCGCAGAAGATTGGCGGCGACGAGTGGTTCGAGTGGAAGTCGGACTGCCTGCACTCGCTCCCCGGGCCGAGCTGGGGCGGCGTCGCCGACCGCAAGCGCGTCCAGAACAAGCTCGAGCGCCTCGTGCCCGGCACGTGCCCGGGCCTGTGCGCCGGCCTGCACGGCGCCCGCCTCGCCAAGCCGCTCAGCCTGTACGACCAGGCGATCGCGATGGAGCGCGAGTGGAAGGCGTGGGAGGACAAGCTCGACGCTCGGCAAGCGCGCGGCATCGACGTCCCGGACGAGGACTGGGACGCTCACGACGCGTACCGCCCGTGGATCATGCCCGTCGACTGGCGCGACGACATCAAGAAGCGCATCGAGGAGCGCAGGTCGTTCTACAAGAGCTGGCGGCCGGCGCTCCAGGTCATGCAGCTCAAGGGCAAGCAGCGGCCCGGGTACCTCAAGGAGGACCGCCGGCCGAGCGTGCGCGCCAACCGCGCCGGGACGAGGGGCTTTCGTGCGCCCGAGGTGCTCCTCAAGTGCCCGGACCAGACCGTCGGTGCGTCGTCGTCGTCGTCGTTCCCTCCTTCTCAAAGCCCGAGACCGAGAAATTGACTTGCTCTCTCTCCCGCAGCGCTCGACATCTGGTCGGCCGGCATCATCCTCCTGTGCTTCCTCACCCGCCGCTTCCCGTTCTTCAACTCGAACGACGACACCGAGGCGCTCGCCGAGATCACGGCCATCTTCGGCCGCCGCAAGATGGAGCGCTGCGCCGCCCTGCACAGTGCGTCCGCCTCTCCCCCTCTCTCGTCCTCGCACGGTCGCCAGACTTTTAATGCGCATCCTCTCGCTCGCAGACCGCACGTTCGAGACCAACATCCGCGAGTACGACACGGTGGCGCACGCCAACCTGCACTCGCTCGTGCGCGAGCTCAACCCGCCCATCATCGTCGAGAACTCGCCCGACCCGTACGGCCCGATCCCGCCGTCCGACGAGAGCGTCGCAGAGTGGTACCAGGGGAGCGAGGTGTCGCAGGTGGTCGACCTCATGAAGCGTTGCCTCGAGTGCGTCCTGCCTTTTCTCTCTCTCTCTGTCTCTCCCAGCGCCACTTCTTGTGGTCGACGTTGTACTTACGCAGTACCTCCCGACATACAGGCTCGACTGCACGAAGCGGTGGACAGCGCAGGAGTGCCTCGAGCACCCCTTCTTTCGCGGGACCTACGACCTCGGGCTCGGCCGCACCGTCTTTCGCGAGAGCGGGTACGAGGAGAACATGACGTCGGTCTGAGGAGCACCGTCGGCGGCTCCTGTCCTTTTCGCCCTGTCATCGTCGTCGTCGTCATCGTCGCCCCTCCCTCGCCTTGTTCTCCCTTTCCCTCTCTCTCTCCCTCGCACGGTCTCTCTCTCTCTCTCTATTCCCTCCCCTTGTTGCTGCTTGTATCACGACGAACCTCGCATGCCTGGTACACGTTGCGAGCGCGCTAAGAGAGACAACAAGAGAGGCTCGAGACTCGGAGACGCACAGACCCCTTCCCTCGCTCGGTCGCCCTCGCCGCAGCTAGACCTTCTCGAGCGACGACTGGGTCGTCGTGCCCTCGCCGCCCGGGGCGGCGAACCTCGACCCTCGTCGCCCTCGCCGCTCCATGTCGAGCTCGAGCTCGAGCCCGTCGTCGTAGCTGACCTCCTCCTCGCGCTCAACCTTGACGGCGAGGTGCACCGGGACGGGCGCCCGTCCTCCTCCTCCCGCCGCGCTCCGAGCGCCTGATCGAGGAGGTGGTGCACCCGCTGCGCCCGAGACGACCGAGAACGGGAGCGTGAGGCCGTCGTTGGCGGCGCCGCCGGTCGTGAGGAAGCTGGCGTTGAGCTGCGTCTGGACGTGCCGCCGCGACGACAGGGTCGTGTAGAGCGAGATGGCGTGCAGCGCAGGGAGAGGGACTGTGAGAGAGTCGTCAGGTCGTGCTCGCGATGCGCGACGAGAGAAAGAGAGAGAGAGAGGAAGACGCACGCCAAAAGGCGAAAGCAGCCGTCGACGTGAGAATGTTGCTGCTCTTCTCGAGCGCCGTCGCGACCGCCGCGCCAACAATGCTGACGACCGACGTGTAGGCGGCCGTCTGGAGCGCGACGATGATGAGTCGCCACAGGACGCCGTCGGTGCGGGCGTTGAAGCCGGCGATGCGCCGGTGCAGCGTGTGGGCGAGCGCGAGCGAGATGAGGAGGTCGGCCGCGGCGGACGACCACAGCCAGATGCTGTCGATTGGGCGAGGGCAGAGCGTCAGTCTGGGTTGCCGGGCGGCGAGAGCGGGAACGAGAGGAAGGAGAAGAGGGGGGACGCACGCTTCAGCCGTGAAGTACTCTAGCGGCGCACGCTTGCCCTGGGTGATGAGGAAGCCCATGGCGGAGAAGAGGGCGGCGCCGGCAAGGGGGAGGAGGATGGCGGCCGACGTGACGACGTAAAAGATGAGGCGCACGGTCCTCGACTGGAAGAGGGCCGCCGCGCGCACCATGAGGAACGCCTGGCAGACGGCGCCGGTCAGGCCGCCGAGGATCGGGAGCACGTTACTCTGCGGCGGGCCGGCAAAGAGCGTGTTGGTGTCGCGGTCTTGCGAAACTGCGGGGACGAGGAGGAGAGAAGGAGAGGCAAGTCAGCGACGGGGAGCTCGAGTAAGGCATCGTGGTAGGGCGACGAGGGACGAGGGCAGAGGACGATGAAGGTGGCAGGGAGGGAGAAGGACCGGCAGCAGAATGAGAGCGGAAAAGGGGAGGAAAGATGGACAAGGGAGACGCACCGCCCGTGTCGACCATCTCCTCGCACGCCATGCCGACGCAGCACAGGACGAGCGCGCACACGATCCAGCTGACGGCCTTGACCTTGCGCGCGTGCTGCCCCAACTCGCGCCTCGAGCTGAGGAACAGGCCAAAGTACAGGCCCGAGAGGAGGAGCTGAACGACGAGGCCCGTGAGGTACGGCGCGAGGACGGCCGTCGCGATGTCTTGCGGCGCGAGAGGGCCCATGACATCGTAGTCGTCCATGCTTGAGTGCGAGTTGCGCCGCTCGGCGAGGTCGAGGAGCGTGTCGAGGTCGAGCCGGGCGCGATTCCGAAGAGGAGGACGACGACGCTGAGAGCGGCGGCTGAGGCACGGACAGGAGCTACGCTCGACTGACAAGCGCTGTGGACGACGTGCACGCGATCTCGAGCAGCTGCACAGCGACGTTGCAGAGCAGAACAAGGGCGGAGCGGCGGCGGCGGCGGCAGAGAGCGAGGCTCGCCGCACGCGCGCGGCGAGAGCTGCAGGCACCTGCGCAAGCGAGCCAGCCAACCCTTGCAATCACGCCAGAGAGGCGATCCAGGCAGAGGCACGAGATGAGCGGCGGGGGCGACCAGGTCCGAGTCGTGGTCGAGAGCGACGATCGCGCGCGCAAAGGGAAACCTGCGAGCCGGAAGAGCACAAGGTTTGGCGGCGAGGGGGCCGTTCCAGAGTGCAGTCGCACCGGCTTGAGCTGGCGAGCACTGCAGCCCGAGTTGGGCACGGCGGACGAGCGGGCGAGCCGGTACATACAAAGTTCGGCGCGGAAGGAGGTCGACGAACTCGCTCAAACGGGGGTCAATGCGGGCGGCGGCCTCTCTGCTGCGAGATCCGACGGCGGACACGCAAAATAGCTGCAACGACGACGACGACGACGACGATCGCAGGCTCTACAACTTGACGTCGACGAGGCTCGCATCGCCCTCGCCCTGACCTTCTCCCTCGACCTGCTGCCCCTCGTCGACATCGCTCTCGACCTCCTCCGCCTCGTCCAGCTTCGGCTCAGCCTCTCCCTCGCCGGTACCGACAGGGTGCGGCACCGCCTCGGCCTGCTCCGCCGCCGCGTCGCCCTCGGGCACGACCTCGCCCTGCTCGACCTCGCGCGCAAGCTCCTCGGCCGGCGCGTCGACGACCACCTCGGGCACGCTCGTCGTCGTCGACGGCGCCGAGCCACCGTCGGCCGGGCCGGGCTCAGTCTCGTCTTGAGCGGCGGCGGCGGGCGGCGTCGCTTGCGCGAGCGGGACCTCGTCGGCTGCGGTCGACGATGCAGGTGCGGGTGCGGCCGCGCTCGCCTCGTCCTCGTCGCTCTTGACGCCCTTGGTGCTCGCGTCCGTCTCGGCGGCGTCGCCCTCGGGCGAGTCGACGACGACGGCCGGCGGCGGTGCCGGGGCTGAGGCCGACGAGGACGAGGCCCGTGCGGGCTCGCGCTCGAGCTCGTTGCGGACGACCGAGTCGTCGGGCGGCGCCTCGACGTCCTCCTGCAGCTCGATGACGTCGCGCTGCTGCTGCGCCTGCTCCTGCTCGGGCTCCTGCTCCTCCTTGACCGGCTGCGGGCGACTCGAGCTCGTCGCGGCGGCGCCGGCGCCGGCGACAGGCCGCGAGCGGGGCTCGCCCTGCGACGTGACGAGCTGGGCCGACGAGAGCGACGCGGCACGGTTCGAGTGGCCGAGGTAATAGGGCGCGATCGGGACGAGCTTGTGCGCGCGCGCGCACGCGAGGAGCCACTCGGGCGTGACGATGGGCTGCGCGACGAGGGGGAATGACCGAGGTCAGTCTTTAGTTTGACAGAGAGGAAAAGGAGTGAAGAAGACGCACGATCGAGAGCTGGACGGCCTTCTGGTACTCGACCGACGGGCCCGAGTCGGGCGCAGACGGCGACGCGGCCGAGGTGGCGACGTAGTGCGTCGTGTCGATCTGCGTGCGTGTGCAGTACAGGTCAGTCTCGGAGGGACAGGCAGAGAGAGAGGGACGAGAGCGAGGCGCACCTGGATCTTGGTGTCGCTCTTTGCGCCGAGGTCGCCGATGACGCGGTGCGCCTCGCGGGCGAGGTCGGCGGGCTCGACAAGGCCGAAGCACGCGCTGATGCCGGTCGTGTTGTCGATCGTGTGGGTGCGCGTCTTTACGGTCGGGCTGGTCCAGGTGCCGGCCGAGGTCTTGAGGACGAGGTGGAACTGGTAGTCGGTGTCGAGCGAGAGGCCCGAGAGCTTTGTCGACGTGTTGGACATGGGGTTGGGGATGGTGGTGAGGCGTTGGCCGTTGCGGTAGATGGACAGGTTCAAGAGGGACGCGCTGGCGAGGTCGAGCTTGTCCCACTCGAGCGTGACGCTCGTCTGGGTCGTGTTGCGGACGCGGAGGTTTGGGGGTTGGGGCTCGCGCGAGCCAAAGAGGTCGGCAATGTCGCGCTGGAGGTCCCAGAACTCGCGGGCCTGGTGCTTCTCGGCGTGGGTGTTGCGGGTGCAGGCGATGTTGACGATGCTGCCGGGCCCGACGCCGGCGGGGAGGAGGAGCGAGGGAAACTCGATGAGGTGGACCGACTGCGAGTGTGAGTGGTGTCAGTTGTGTGCGCGAGAGATGGCAAGGGAGGTGGGACGGACGTCGGAGATGAGGACGGCGATGCCGGCTGCGAGCGTGAGAGAGGAGGAGTGAGCGGGGGGACGGTGGGTGGGAGTGAGGGAGGAGAGGAGGGACGTGCCGTCTATCTTGCCGACGACGAAGCGCCGCGTGGTCTCGTTGTGCTCGAGCGGGGGTAGCAACTCAGACACAGCACATGTCGAGGGTGGGGGCGCCAGGCGGGGGTCAGAGCGAGAGACGTGAGGAAACCGGAGCAGAGCTGGCCAGACACTTCCACTCCTCGTCGCGGCAAGTCCGTCGGCGACCATGACAACGGCTCTCGGGCGGCCGTGTGCTTCTTCTGCCCCAGCCTGGTCTGTCGGGAGAGAGCGGGAACGTTCTAGGCTCTCGCCTTTGGCCGGGAAAAACGCCCG